CCCACACAGAGAGGATTGTAAAAGCAATAACGAAATGCGAAATGCACAGGATTGTAATAATGGGCCTTTGCTGCCTGCGTATCCACTTCCTGCCACAGGTACCTGAGGGGCTGCCTGGACACTTCTGGAAACTTCCAGTACTCAGGCAATTCTTCGTGGTGGCAGGTGTGGGCTCCTTAGACCAATGCAGAGCAGACTCCGGACTCGGTAGCTTTTCTTCTATTCGCTCAAGGCTGGGCTGCAGCCCACTCGGGAGCCCCCTTCTGGCTGCTCTCTGAGTGGTTCCTGTCCTTTTCCCGCAGCTGCTCCTGCCTTCCGTGGGGAGGCACCCAATCTGAAGGTCCTGGCGACTCAGGTGCCAGATCAAAGCGTGGTCTTGTTACTAGTGATGAGAAAGAAGCCAAACCATTTATTAAACTATATCGTTGGAGCCCACAGATAGTCACAGCGCAGCTCCTGTGTGCAGGGCGCGAGTCTAAGTGCCGGGGACAAAACACACTGAGCCCCTCGCCCTCGGCAGAGCTTACAGTCTAATGGCAGAAAGAGACCAAAAAGAGCTAAGTAAAAAGCCTGGTGGGGCAGAGGGTGGGCTGTGCTGTGGAGGAAAATAAAGTGTGTGCGGGGTGAGAAGTGGGGGCGTGCTAGGGCGGGAGCAGGGCTTTCATAGGTTTTTCTCAAAAGGTGGTCCAAGAGCTTGACATTTGAACCAAGAGGGGCTGGGTCATGAGAGGGAGCGGCACCAGGCAGGGAACGGCATGTGCAAAGGCCCAGAGGTGGGAGCGGACATGCCTGTGGCAGCCCCATCACAGTGGCAACCTGAGGTGGGTAGAATATCACAGACCTCACAGGTGAAGAGGCTCAAAGGTCTGCCTTGTTACTCATTCAGAACTGCTGGGGAGCAGGTGAGCATCCCACAGTTAGAGGCCCCTCCTCCGTTATGGCCTCCTAAGAGCCCTCACACGGATAGGGATCCTAACTATTGGGGTGCAGTTTGGGTGGCCTCCAAGACCCCACCTGGCCTCAAATGCCACCACACAGGGTGGGCGAGGGGAGACCATAAAATGCACCACTGGCCCTCAGGAACCATCTCCCACTCCAGAAATCCCCCAAGCCAGGTGTCTTCCTGATCCCGGGAGCAGGTCCCACCTCTATGGGCTGCTTGGGATAGGGACACCTGGCCTGGGGCGGGGGGGGTCTGTTCCCTGCTGGCCTCAGGATCCTGGACAGCTGGCAGGAGTGCGGAGGCATGAAAATGCCCCGAGCCCATCCTCCCTCCACTGCCGTGAGCATCACTCTGGAGATGGAGGGGCGACCCCCCCAGCCTCATCTTCACGGGCAGGCCCTGCAGGCCCCTGACTCATTTGTGATAGGAGAATGAGTGTGAGGTCAGTTCAGGTCAGCTCAGAAGCGGGAGTCCCTGTCACTGGCTCCACGCCACCTGCAGGTCAAACTCCAGGGTCACAAGAGATAAATGACACCCACTCCAAACCCTCACTGGGCACCTGGCCAGTTGTGGCTACCCTGGGGATGAGGGGGATGGGTCAGAACCAGAAGGGAGGGAAGGGGGGGTGGAGATAAATGAGAAAGAACAGAAGGCGGGAGGGAGAGCAGAAGGGAAGTGAGAGAGGAGAAAGAGAGGAGGAAAGTGGAAGAAGAAGGAAGTGAAAACCATTTGTGTCTCTCCACCACCCCAGGGCAGGCAGGCTCCTCTCCGGTCCTTGATGAGGAACCCTGACTTGATGGAAGTGCACCCCTCCCCCACCCCGTGGCAGTAGCCTCCCTTTCCAGGGCAGGTGGCAGGAATGGGGCCCATGTGGCCTGGGAGGCAGAGCAGCTGCTTTGCATATGCAAAGAGGCTCCTTGTCCAGAGGGGAGGCCAGGCCAAGGTCTGATGGCGGTAGGGGCTCAGAGACCTCCAGCCCCCGCCTCCCCCAGAGATCACCATCCTGGCTGAGCCGTTTGTCCCCACACTCAGCTTGGCCCTGAACAAGCTGCTTGACCTTGACACCAGGCCTGCCAAAAGCAGTCATGCTACTTTGCTTCCAAGAACCTAACCTAAGGACACAAGGAAGAAGGAGGGAGAGAGGGCAGGGCAGGAAGGAAAGGGTTCAGGAAGACTGTGGGCGCAGGGTTGTGTTGCTCTTTGGGAAAGCAAAATAATGTTAAACAACGTAAACAGTGAGCCGTATGGGCGCCAAGCTACGGAAGGCTGCGACCTGGACTAAACCCTCCACAGAAAGCACTGAATCAACACAACCACCCGTGAGGTAGGTCACCACCCCTACTTTACAGATGGGGAAACTGAGGCTCATTAGTAGGAGAAAGAAGCCGGCGGACCCAGGACACCAACACCTCTGCACACCTCATCAACTGAGATGAGAATACCCGGAAAACTGCTGCTGCCAACGTGGGCGTCTCAGGGCAGTGACAGCAGCTGACTGGCATCAGCATTGACAAGCCTGGTATCCTTCCTGGTCCTTTGAGGCCACGCGCAACAGCTGCTGTTGAACTCTGGCCGAACACAAGGGAACATGCAAAATGGAACCCAGCTGAGCCCTTGTGGTGGGGTTACAGTGCCCCTCCCCTTTATAAAACTGTCCTTAAATTTTCTTTGAACAGGTTTTTAATGGAGAAAAAGAGGGACTTTGAGAGACTGCTTCATTTCGAGGGAGAGGCATTTAAACAGAAGAGAGAGGGGTTCAGCTGGGATGGGGTAGGATTTTTAAAGGGACCTCACACCTCAGCTGTGACCTTCTCATTTTACACGTGAGGACTCTGGAAGCCCGTACCCACCCAGCCAGTTGGTGACCAGTATTCATGCAAAGACCCGCCCCCTGCAAGTACCCCTGCCCCCAGGGGTTCAAGACATCCAAGCGACCCAAGCTCAAAGGCCTTCTGGGCCAGGCCAGTAGAGAGCGGCAGGGGACAGAGGCATTTTCCTGTGAACGTTCCCCATTATTCTTACATATTGGCCGCTAATTTGCAGCTTTGAGAAACATTCCCCTTTGCTGGAAAGCAGATCTGCGGCTGGATTTGCTGTGGGCGTCCATGTCCTCTCGGGGTGAGCTGCCTGGGTTTCCTCCTGGCCCTCCTCAGAACAGCGTGTCTCTCCGAGGCTTCCCATGACTCAAAATAGCTAGAAGCAGGCTATTTTTACGGGACTGGTAGCAAAGGTCTAAGAGCCAGGCCAGGTCTATGCTGGGATGGATTTCCTTTATCATCCAGCAGCAAGCTGTGGGACCCGGGTGCCTGGAGGCATTCAAGAAGCCCAGGAATGTCCCTCCTGGCCACTGTCTGGGGCCAGTCGAACCCGCAGGCTATAAATAGGACACTGCATGCAGCTGGGAGACCTGCAGATGCAGGACGTAAAGCTTAGACCCTGCTCCACAAGCTCCAGCTGTGCCTCTCCCAGACCTAAGGGCCCATTTCCCTGGCATTTGCATGTCAGTTGCCCAGGTCCTCAGTCAAAATACATGCAAATCCAAGCTCTGGGCCCTCAGGTGAATTCCTGATGGGCATTGTCCAGGACAGCCCTGCACCCCGTGGAGTGGAGAGGGCTGGTGTTCTTTCATTCCCCAAATGGGTACCCAGCACCTCCTGTGTGCAGGCTGGATACCAGAGTGAACAAAACCCTGGGTCCGGCCGGGGTTTCTGAGCCTGACTGTGCGCATGACGCTCTGTGGGTCTCAATGACTCAGGATACAGACTCTGATGGTAGAGTGGGGTCTCGGGCACCCACCTGTACTGCCCGTGCGCTTGAGGTGTTTATGGTCCAAGATAAAACAGGGCATGCACCACAGGCTTCTACTGTACGAAATCCTTTCACCTTTCCTGCATGCTGTAAAGTTTACATAAGAAAAACATGGTGGGGTAAGAAGCAGCAATACCTGAAGCTTTAGATTTGGAAATTCAAATAGGTAAACCCCAGCCCACCGGCTGCCAACTGTTTTGGTAAATAATGTTCATTGGCACCAGGGCCGAGTTTAGGGCCAGGAAGCTGAGCCACTGCAGGGCTGCTGCGTTTGTTCAACATTTTCATAGTGTGGACTTTCTTTTGCATTGGTTTTGATTTTTTAAAAGTATTTCATTAAAATAGTATTTCTCTCAATGACAGCGTTTTCTGTGCCTGATGGAAATGCCTCACTCGCCTTACCCTTAGCCCGACCCTGCTTGAAGGGCTCCAGGCAGCCACACGGAACAAACACAGGCTCAGAAATGACACGGCCCTGCTTCTAAACCCCACTTCCGCCCCCTACTGGCTGTGTGGCTTTGGACGGCTGCCTAAGGTTGGAGGCCTCAGTTTCCCCCTGTGAAATGGAGCCAGCGGCGCTCACACCACCACCTGTCTGGGATAGTGTGGGAATTAAACGAGATATTATACACAAACACTTTTTGGAGGGCTGAAAAATCCTAATTATTGTCAACTAAATAACAAAGTCAAGTTCAAATTCATGGTGTGGAGGCCAAGAAAATTGAAGGAAAACCTGCACCCGGCCGCGCTGGTCATCACCTGTGAATCTCCAATTGGTTCTGGAAGAATAAAGGTGGGCTGAGAAAATCCAGAGAGACATTTGGACAAGGCTTGGAAGAAGGAATGGCCACGTGCAGGGGGCAGCGGGACAGCTCGGAAGCCCTGTCTGGAGAGCTCGCTCGGCATGTCTGTACATGGGCACCAGAGGTCCCTTCTCCCTGTGACTGAGTGGGAGGAGAAGTCCCAGCCTGGCACGGACAGCAGCGGGGAGCAGTCACAATGCCAGGTGCAACCTTCCCATGTTCCAGATGCCGAGCAAGCAGGGAGGGACTGTCCCAGCACAATTTCCTTTGCAACTGACACTCTATGGTATGTTGGAGGTGAGAACCTGGGCTTCCGGTGGTCCAGGAGGGAGGGAGATACCGAGCAGGGTGGCCCAAATGCTGGAAACCTGAAATGGAAAATCTGAAGCAGAATAGTTGGTGGTGGGTGTCAGGGAGCCAAGGAGCCAGTGCTCGCCAGCCTCGGATATTTCGCGCTGAGTTTCCAGAGCCACACAGGGACCCCACGCGGGCTCCAGTGGGCAGTGGGATGGAGACAGGCTCTGCCAAGTCACTGTCTTGGAGAAGCGCAGCCTGGTCTGGGCGACACCTTCCCCAAACGTGGTCCTACGGGGCGTCCCCTATAACTTAACAAGTTACACAGGGTTCGCGAATCTCAGGATGCACCTTCGTAGGGTGCTTTCCCTTTGTGTCCCCAGCGATGGTTGTACAAGCCTGGGGCACCGACACACAGCCTTATCTCCTTGATCTGTGCTGTCAGTATCCCCTTCTGCAGGTGAGCAGAGCAAGGCTCAGAAAGGTAGTGTAACTGGCACACTGGTCAACAGCTAGCACTCGGTGGAGGGGGATTCACTCCCAGCTCTGTCCTAATCCAGAGCAAATGCCGTTTTCCTTGCCGGTGTCTCCCCCTCAGGACTCATTTTTAGCCAAATGGCCCTCAAAAGGCGCTAAATACTCTCCTGCACCCTCTGGTTTCTTCTGCTGGCTCTTGGAACTGAAGAACTTGCTTCCTCCAGGACCACACACCTGAGTGTTCTGATATCTGTCCATCCACCTGAACCTGCTGTCTTTCCAAAGAGGTTGGGTGGGGTGGGGGAGGGGCGGCCTCCAGGAAGTCAGGCTCCTGGGGGTTCAGTGTTGTGAGAAGGCCTGATTTCAGCAAGGAAATTGGTCAAGTCAGATTGCAGGATGTCAGAGAAGTTTCCTCAAAACTTGTGAAGCAAGGGAGGTGAGAGGAGGGAGTTACACCCTCCAGGGCGTGGCCCCGCTGCCAGGCCAACCATAAATGCAAGATGTTCAACCTCCCACCTACAGCCGCAGGGAAATGTGCCCACAACCCACACGCCCCGCCCTCAAGGAGATGGGGCTGTGAAATTTGGTTGAATGACAAGGTGGAATAATTATTATCATCACAGCCGTTTATGGCGTCTTGTATTAGCTTCCGATGTCCGCTTTAACAAAGCACCACGAACTAGCTGGCTTAAAACAACAGAAATTCATTCTCTCCCAGTTCTGGAGGCCAGAAGTCCAAAGTCAAGTTGTCAGCAGGGCCACACTCGCTCTGAAGGCTCTAGGGAAGGATCTGTGCCTTGCGGCTTACAGCTTCTGGCGGCCCCAGGGGTCCTGAGCTTGTGGCAGTGTCCCTCTAGCCTCTGCCTCCGTCTTCCCATGGTCTTCTGTGTGAGCCCTCCCCGCTTCTCTTCCCTTCTAAGGACTCCTGGCGTTGGATTTGGGGCCCACCCTCATCCAGCACGATCTCATTTCCAGATCCTTAACTTAATTCCATCTGCAAAGACCCTCTTCCCCAATGAGGTCCCATTCACAGGTTCCAGGTGGACATTTCTTCTTGGGGGCCACTAGCAACTTGCTACTATGCCCACTGCTGCCAGACGCTGAGCAAGCAAGGGAGGTCTTTTGGGGCACAGTCTCATTTGCACGTGCTATTTGGGAGATGAAAACTTGAGTTTCCGATGGGCCAGGAACTGTGAGTTGGCCGCAAGGTTGCACCTCATTTGGTGATCTTTGGTGGCTGTGGTTCCCTGGGACTTTATTTGTCACCAAGTGAGAGGGTGGGAGCGATGGAGGGAGGGAGTTACAAATGGCACATCCACTATCCTTTCGAGATATTTTATGTGGGAAGGAAACGGTTGCACAGCTAACATACATCCCATTGGGCTGACCCGGGTGGACCTTCAGCCCCATTTCTGCTTTGTTTCTGGGAGGCTCTGAGTCTTGCTGGGATGGGAAAAGGTGCGGATGAATGGGGCTTTAACCACTTGAGTGGTGGCCGCACGGTGTGCTCAGCCTGACAAGGGCCCACACACTGTAAGTGGCCCCTCACCTTTCTGTCCACAGTGGTCCAGGGTGAGTGTGTCCCCAGAGTGCAACCAAGGAGACGGGCGGCTCTCCTTGAACCCCTCCCACTCCAGCCCACAAGACAACTGCTTTGTATTGGAAATTGGAGCAAGGTTATTCCCTGACTGAAAACCTGACATGCAATGGGGCCTCCTCTGTGTGTGTGTGCGTGTGTGTGTGTGTGTGTGTGTGT